AACATTTATTAAACAATGCAAAAAATTTACAGACTATATTTTACAGCTTTTTTTTTTTTTTTTTTTACATAAAAAAGTGTCAGCTCAGGCCAGCCCCAGTAGTAAACAATGTATAGAGGCCGCCTCATATACCCACACCCACACGCGCACACAAGCAAACAAATATGCACACACGTCACGTGAACAAGAAAATAGTTGTCATTTGCTTTAAAATGCTTTCAGGTAAAGATTGTAAATCAAAGGGTTGCTAGATCCTATTAACATTTTCCCTTCTCCTAAATTCAGTTTTACATCCTCTGCCTATTTCACTGTCCATTTAGTTTTTCATGCATTTTAATTTATGTATATCAATTCAGGTTGAAGATGCTTTTACAATAAAAGAGACTGTCATAAGGACTCTACTTTTTGCATAAAAAGTGCATGCTCTGTTATCATCATCATCAAAAACAGATTTTTAAAGGATTTTTTCAAAGTGATTGTTTACATGCATCATTCAGGTAAAATACAACTGAAATAAACTCCACACCAATACATATGAAAATAATAAAACTTTAAACTAGACTGGATAATTTAATAATGCACAGCAACATTTGCACTAGGATGAGACTAATACCTCAGGCTAAGATTACCCTTGGATTAAACCTGATTTGTTGGTGTATAAAATTGTAGTCTCTCCAAATTGTTAAAAACACGTTTTTAAGGGTTTTTAAGCCCAAAAAGAAAGAAAAAAATAAAAGAAAGACAAATTTAACTGTTTACAATTTTATATCCTGATAGTGTTAAACATTCATTAAAGTCGGGTCAGACTTAAGGTGCTGAAAACCAGTGACCAGGGACAACAGAATCAAAGTTTCACCCCACATCTGTATAAGTTTCAGGACTTGTTCGGTTGAACATTTGAATGTGGCTCATGCACCTCATAGCTAAATTCCCTGCAGAATTATATTATAAAAACAATCCTCTATAACACTTTTTAAAATGATTTCCTGTCCTTTATCCATCCTGCAGCTGTTTGTTTACAACAAATAAGCAAAAAAAAAAAAAAAAAACATATTAAAAGAAAAGAAAGGGAAACAAAGAAGAAACACTTTTTAAGATTTAACATGGGTACTGACGCCTCTGTTTTTAGTATTTGTGACAATGACTGAAGCCTTGTACTGCTGAATTCCTGAGAAATGTCTGTGTGTGTGTGCCTGCGTGTGTGTGTGCATGTGTTCATACGATGCAGCATTTGTTCTTGTGTTTGCGGGAGTCTTTGAAACGGAGCCTATGCTTAGATCGATATTTCTCCAGGTAGGTTAGCTGTTTGCTGTTGATGGCTCCACGACGCTTCCTGAAACACAAACACAATGCTATGAACTTTAAAAAGCTTTTAGAGGTTCATTAAATACAGAGAGCTCACAGACACCTTTTATCTTCCACTGCACGCTGTACTTTCAAGTATAATAGTCTTTTTCTGTCACCTTTTTGTTTTGCATTTCTCATTGTGTTCCTCTCTAGGTTATAATAGAAAAAGTGTACTTAATCCTACCAGTTCATGTTTTCTATAGCTACTTTCAAACAGCATAGGCTCCCATGTTAAAATGCCCAACTTATACCAATAAAAGCATTTTTACAGCATGGAACAGAAAATGTTTTGCCTTCTATGGTCAATTTCAGCCCTCAAAACAGTTAACCCTCCCATGATGCAGTAAAACAAATCACAGAGCAAAATCATTTCCACATATTAACTCTCAAACCAGGAGTTAAAAGATGATAAAGTCCACCATCAAAGCAGACTTTCTAAGTTTGGTATGTAGTAATCTACTGTATGTTTACTTTGGTGTTTGGGGGGGGGGGGGTCTTTGTCAAAAACAAAAGCTGTAAAACTTCTGAAAATAGAGTAAAAAGATTCCAGAACTGACGCCCTTCTTCATATTTCTGTGCAGTGGGCCTGATGCACTACTTGCGATTCTGGTCCAATCCTCATGTTTGACACCCCTGATATAGAGTATATAAGACCACTCTGGTTTCTGAAATAGTTTCATTAAGTGAAAAAAAGGAAAGAAAAACTATCCTCAATATGACACAGGATATACTTACTGTCTGATGAGTTGAATAGCATCCTCATATTTCATCCCGCTTTCTATCAGAGCCAAAGCAACAAGCACAGGAGCCCTGTGTGCACGTATAAATACAACACGATCCATGTTTTAGGTTATACATGTCCAATCAATTCTGCTTATCTGTTTCTTGGCAAATCTTTAAGTCATAGTTTTTAGTATAAGCACTCCAAATCAAACATATGAGTTATTGTCCAGTGATGCTAACTTGTACAGAAGCTCTTATATGTGTGCACACACACCTGTCTTCCTCTGTCTTTTTAAATTAAACTTTTACTTTAAATGTCTCCTACCTCCCTAATCCAGCCACACAGTGAACAGCCACACAGCTTCCTGGATCCTCCTGAAATGTCTTCTTTAGCAGATTCAACCAATCATCGACCAGCTTACTGGGTGGCGAGGCTCCATCGTCAAATGGCCAGTCCTAAAAGAGAGACCGAACAGGTGCTGTCTGGTGTACTGTATTTGATCATAGAATGAGTAAATATTCATATTAAAGGTGTGTGTTTCTGAACTTACCACCACTGTAATGCCATCTTTCTCAAGCCGTGTTTTGTCATAAGTGACATCGCAAACTCGGACCACTGTTGTGGCACCATATCGCTTCAAGTCCTGGAAGTGGTAAAATGAGGAAAAAACCTTTTTTGAAGTCACAATACACAAGCTGACATCACAGAGGGAAACAAGCATGCAGGTAATATCCTAATTTTATTTCGCTTGTCATTATAATATTGTCTACACTTGCAGGACACACATACTCACATATATTTCTCACCTCTATGAAGGAGTTGAGCGTGCCATCTGTTGGGTTGTGTGTAATAAGAAATCTCATGTTCTTGTGGCACAGTTCGACTGCAGCTGGGCGATTCATGTTGACCAGTGTGAAGATATCTGGCGTGTGTAACCCCTGTAAAAACCAGAAGTCATCTTTTTCACATTTTGTTTGTGTAGAATATGGATAAAAAATGCCAAGAAATGACTGGTTATGTAATGATATGTGTTATGTGCTTTTTCTTGCTAGTAAAAGCAAGAAAAAACACCAGTAATAGTATGATAAGATGTAAATATTAATGGCTGAACTGTAATAAAGACTTTCAAAATACTAAAGCTCAACTTTGGGTTTCACTGGGGTTTCCCACAAAGTAATCCAGAAAGAATAGGACCCTATGCAGCTGTAGTCCATGTTGTAGGACTGTCATAATGTGATCAGTAGAACGTATTATTAATGTAGACCTAGGCCCTTTGGTTTCCCTGACCCACCCCATGTGGTCAATGGGAAATTAGAATTAAGATATAAATAGGTATACATCATTCATTTTCTCCCATTTAAATTTTTTTTTTTTATTGGAAATCACATTACAGTTTTGTTGCTTCTATTTGAAAGGTGATTGCTACATTTTTTGTTTGTTTCTTTATTTACATTTGTAGATATGTGTGTGTATGTGAATGAAACTTCACAGAGCAAACATTTATGAGATGTGTGTTTGGGGGGGAAAAAAAGAAAAAAGTATTTATTTACTAAAATCAGAGATAAAGTTGTGTTCTTAGTTTGTGGTTAGCAGATTGCTTGGTTTAAGGATAACAATTTAAATTGTTATTATGAGCCTAAACATGCAGAAAAACACAGGAAATTGACTGATGCCGAACGAAGACAGACACCAGATGCTTTGCTAGTAAAGGTGCAAAAGCAACCAAGCTTTACACATCCAGGGATGGAGCAGTCAAGACCAGCTTTGTGATTTCTCGCAGAGGGACTACGATAGAGAATTATTTATTCACACAGGTAACTGTATGTCTGGATAGGCCGGGGCTTAAATAAGACAAATTGGCTTACACTGCTCAGCGCTGAAAATTAACCACATTGTTGATGTAGCTAAAATAGCTAACTTCATTAGGGCAAGAGCACTGAATCAAAGACAGTTTGTTGTACTTCTGCAGGAGCATGAGGCTGAATATGGTGACATAGGCTACCACACAGCTGCTGGGTAGCTCAGCCTGGGTAAAGTGCTGAAGAGAGTAGCCTACTGCATGGGA